TTTTAGCTCTTATCATTTTTTAGTTGAGGTCTTTGTGCTTCAAGTGCTCAGAAGCCAGGCCTTTGTTGCCATGGCGAAAATATTCAAGTAAAAAAAATGTAACTAGTGAGGACGGTCTATCGCATGGGCATAAAGAAATGAGAAGAATACCCATTTTTCTCGTTTGAGAAAACTTAGACGAAAAAAACTTTAGCGTAACGACTACATCAACGAATTTTAGGAGATCTTCAGTGTTGCTTTTCTAAATCTTGAGATTATTAAGGCGATTGAGCCATCTTTGCGTACAAGGGGTATAATGGCTTGGTAGTAGGTTTATTCACACGCTTTGTTTCTTCCCATTATCGGCTCGTTCTGTCAATCTAAGCCATTCTATATGTGATTGAAACATATGTGGCAACTTGCTCTATCGCTTCTGGCACAAGATTTATCCTCATTTCATCGGCCAAGCAGGTTTACGGAAGATGTTCACGTTGATTCATGTGGAGTTCTTGTCACTTGCGGTTCAGAAACAAAGTGGTAATTATCAGAAAGAAATTCCTCCCTTATCTGTTTCCTTTACCTAGCTGCCCCATCTCTGATGGCACAAGTTCTCCCAGCCTCAGATTGCTTTTGTCCGAACGGATGATCTAGAACCCTTAGAAACCACTGGGGGGATCAGGCCAACTGTTGCAGGCAGCATCACAGCAGGAAGGATGGATAACAATTAAGGCAAAGCGAATATCAGAAGTATGCTTACGCACACAAACACACACACCAGTCACTCGCCAGCAGAGGTATGAAGCAGTCGTTTGTGTTGATTTCTTTTGGTCGAGCGTCTGTTCCTCGGCAGCTGAGACTGGTGAGGAGTCTGGACATGAAAAAAAGTCTATAGCAGATCCACAGTTTCACTATTCCAGCCAAATCCAAGAAAACATTTCCCAAGAGTATGGTCATTACTAGCTCCCATTAGGCGCATGTTTTCAGCTCCACAACGACTCGTTCAGAGGGACAAGAAGATGTCCCTCTCGCATCGATGCAAGTCTTTGAATGCATACACTCACACCAAATAACCGTCACAAAAACAGACACGCGTTAACACAGAAATGCGGTCTTGGCAAAAAGTCACCTCCACATGTTTTCGTTTTTTTTATAATTTCAAGAGGAAACTATTTACTGAATGCGTTTTGGATCATCTCCCTGCCTCTTCCTCCTCCTGATCCGAAAGATTCGCTCCTCGTACCCCTTCATCAATCTCTTGCTTGATTTTCTTGACCCCAAGCACTTCACGCGTCAGGACAAGGGATTTCACACACGGTGACTGAATAGACCTCCGACGAGTCTTAGATGAGAATCACCTGCATCATAATTACGCCCAGATAGGGGTCACATAAAAAAGCACTTTTGTGGTTTCACTTTGGCCTAAAATGTACTCGGACACTTCACTATCCTAGGGCAAGTATACACAGATGTTGAAGCCTCGCATTATTTTAGTTATCTTCATTTTATGCAAAAGTTTCTGAGTTATAGATCCATATGTTCGATCTCATCAAAAGGCATACTATTCATCCTGATCGTGTAAATTAACACGAACTTTCTAGCCGCCGCAGACCAATAACCATACAGGTGTTATTCGAAATGCATTACCAGGACCGGAGATATTAATACACCTTTACCATAAAGTCAAGAAGACTGACATGTCATAAATAAATACAATAGCATCACACAAGAACTGAATTACATGCTTTATTTATTGAATATGTTGCTTCTTAAATATAAATATAAAAACTGGTTTGTTAAAATCTGTACCAGTGTGGAAGTGTGCGTGTGCGTAAGTGTGTAAGTTGAGGCACGAAAGCACCATTTATGGCTAGGACAAATTAGAGCATAGCATAATTTTGATCCATGTTCATCAAAGAATGACTATGACATCATAATTGTGAGGGTAACTTATTGTGAGGTGATGAGCTTAACATATATTTAGATAAAATTTAAATCTAGCCATAACCATCACTGGACTTACCAATTAAGTCACCTTATTCTTGTATTGGACTCACTACTCCATCACCCCTAAATTATATATACTAAGAAAATGCGGGTTTCGAAGAAACTCCTGAGATAATATTGAAGTGAAGACTTTCATTTCGTAGGAAAGTGCATTATGAAGAGATTCTTAGGTCAATCTCACCAGAAGGCGACGGCTGATTCGTGTTGCCCTGTAGTCGTTTAGCCTCAATACGATGTTCAGGTTGATGCAATCCACATGACATCCTCCAACTTTTCGAATGAAGATGGGCTGAGCTTTTGTTCGTCGTGTGACGAACATCATCAGAGCTGGGACTCATTTTTGCAAAAGCCTCAGGTTAACACTAAGTTAATAAGACTGATCGGATTTTGTCTATATGATTTATATATATATATATATATATATACTCGTCGTGAGCAAAATGTAAGATATAGATGGATATAGGTTAATTTAACC